GAACCAAGGAGTTTGAGAACCAAAGTACCACTGTACCAGGGGTCTCAATCCTTGTAATACAATCACCAACACCAGTCATTGAGACTTTCCTTGCAGCATCTACTATCTATAAAATGGAATAACGCACCGTACCTCACATGACTCCAGTATAAAAGACAGTCCAGTATTATAGCAAAGGAATATGCAAACATCAAGATGGACATGGTGATTTTTGGAAATAAGAGGGATGGACCAGGCTCATAAATTCTGGCTACGTTACACTTTTTAGGTAACGTTTAATGCTTGTAATCCTCAATCAACTAACTCAGGTATGAACGGCCAAGTCCAATGCACTGAAATTAAATCATAATCACTCTTGTTGCTATCACTGTCACTGTCATCAACAAATTAAAGTGTTTGACATTCAGATTTCTGTCAGCACCTTCTTCGATTTTAGCTAAACATTGTGCAGATGTGGACAATAAAGTTGAATGTTGGAAAATTTAGGTCAGAGACAAGAAAGTATTTCTTCATGGAGCACACAGTTAAACTATGGAACTCGCTTCCCCAGGAGGCAGTGATGGTCACCAACTTGGAAGGCTTTAAAAAAGGAATGGACAAAAGGTGGCCATTAATGACTGCCAGCTGTGATGGCTATACTCTGCATCCACAGTTGGAGGCAAGCAATGCTTCTGAGTACCAGCTGCTGGAAACCACAAGGTAAAGGTAAAGGTGAAGGTGAAGGTAAAGGGACCCCTGACCGTTAGGTCCAATCGCAGGCGACTCTGGTGTTTCGGCACTCATCTTGCTCTACAGGCTGAGGGAACCGGCGTTTGTCCGCAGACAGCTTCCGGGTCATGTGGCCAGCATGACTAAGCCACTTCTGGCGAACCAGAGCAGCGCACGGAAATACCGTTTACCTTCCCTCTGGAGCGGTACCTATTTATCTACTTGAACTTTGACGTGCTTTCGAACTGCTAGGTGGGCAGGAGCAGGGACCGAGCAACAGGAGCTCACCCCGTCGCGGGGATTCGAACCGCCGACCTTCTGATCGGCAAGCCCTAGGCTCTGTGGTTTAGACCACAGCGCCACCCGCATGCTCGAATCCTGTTTGCTGGCCTGCCACAGGCATCTGATTGGCCACTGTGAGAACAGGATGCTGGACAAGATGGGCCCCTTTCAGCCTGACCCAGCAGGTTTTTCTTTTGCTATTGTGAATGACAACAGTATTGCACAGAATGGCACAATATTCAAATCATGAAAGATAAAGCAGCTATCACCATGAAGATGAGAACAAACACCTTGTTTATGTTTAAGTTTAAGGTGCTCAGCTGACACTCTGCAAAAACTGGTAACCACAAAGCAAATTCTACTGATGCATCAATACTTTGGGGTTCCACAGAAACCAAACACCTTCGTGAACTTTCAGAGAGCAAATATTCCACCAATTCCCAGCTTGGGTATTCCTATGGAACCTTCCATAGCCAGATTCTACAAATGAATCAACATGCCAAAAAATGAACCCTTTGTGAGCTCTGGAAAATCACTATGGATAGGTAACAGAGTTCCATGAAAGTCTAAACAGACTTAGATAGTTGCCATTAAATATTTGCTAATTGGTTGATGAGGAAGTTAAAGTGTTTAAATAAGGTCTTTATATTGGCCACTATAACTATTTACTTTACAGAATCTGGCACTGATAATAGATAGACAAGTATGGAGCAGAATGATTTCCATAAGGCTTTTCTTGACTCATCAAATGCTCTAATCTTCTAGATTTAAAATATGCACATTAATCTTACAAATTTTATTGGCAAGGCAAACAGAGAGAAAACATGGTGCGTCAAAAAGAGGTATTTGTCAAACAGCACACACTTGATAGTCACATTAATGCTTCCTGGTCAATAAAGGATTAAAGTAACATGTCAGTAAATTACAGCAAATACAATCCGGTATAAACTTTTATAGCTGTGGTTTGATTCCGACACCTGAGATACGAGAGTAAAAAAAATGCGGCTAATGGTTTCCACTGAGCCCTGAGCCGGGCCTTGGCTGGGGAGGGCGGGGTATAAATAAAAATTATTATTATTATTATGAGCCCTGGAACCAAGCACGATGCTGTGGTGGCATCTCCAGAAATCCATACAAAACTTAGGCCCAGGCCCAGTGCACTTGAAAATTCGAACCTACCAGGTGAGGACAAATGCTTAAAACAAAACAAATCCATAGAACCCTGTGTACAGGAGATTACCACAGATCAGGGTTGGGGAACTGACAGCCTGTGAGTCAAAGGTGGTCCACCAGGAGCCAAAAATTGGTCTGCAAGGCTGTTCCCCCAAAACCACACTCAGCCAAGAGCTGATAGGTGGTAAAGCCAAAACCTGCTAGATCGACTACATGACTGAGTTCCTCACAGAGAACTTGCTCTCACAGCTGATGCCTGCAGAATGCAGGTTTTTGGCTCTATCGTCCATCACCACACATTACCTGGTGGGTAGTAAAACTGAAGCTCCAGGCATTTTAAAGCACAGTGCAAGGCTCTTTCCAAGCTCTGTGTACTGCACTGAAGTCCCAACTTCAGGAGTTCGCATGTAAATGTG